AAAATGCTGATAGTATGATTCTAACATTTTTACAAATACTGTGAACAGATATTTGCTGGTCTGACCACCTGTTCCAAATGCCTGGCAGTCACTTTCCAAAATTCCACATAGAGGCTTACCTTAATTCTAAATGCTAGAATAATAGCTCAGGCTTGTTACTAGCCAACTCTTAACTTTAGATGAACCCATTTCCATTAATCTACATATTGCCATGTGGCTCATGGTTTTACCTGTCCATTAGCATGTCTTGTTTCCTGGGTGGCTGGCTGATGTCTGTGCTGACTCTGCCCTTTTTCTTCCTGCCATTCTGAGGGGCTTTCCCACTTACTGTCCACCCAGCTACTGCCCTGTCAGCTTTGTAATCAATCAATGAGATCAATATATTTTCACAGTGTAGAAAAGGATTGTTTCACAGAAATAATATTTTTGTTTTCTAAGATTTCTACATCATTGTATGTTCTACATTTACAATGAATTATTTACTTATGACCTATTTAGTAAATTTTGAAATAACATTGTCTAGGAAATTCTTAAATAATGATTCCTCCAAAATATATATTAATCTCCAAGTAAACATTATATCCAATGACACAACACCACAATCCTCACAGTACCAAACAAGGGTGGCGACTGGGGTATGTAAGTGATGGAAGCCTCAAGATGTCATACAATAGAAAGTACAGAATATCTGCTGTGATTTAATTGCTATGAATTTTATAACAGTAATAAACAGTTCATTATGGAGAACATTAATAAAACAGGTTCAGGCCAAAAAGGAAAATTACCTTTAACATACATATCCTCTATAAATAAATTAAAATAAATGTCTCAGTAAACAATTATCTTTTGACTTGTAGACAGAAGTTAGGCTAATCTTACTAAAGTCCATTAATAAAGCTCACACTACCAAGTTTTTCATTAAAACAAAAAGACCATTTTAGTATATAAGTATGTTTTAATGAAATCAAACATGTGGAAAATAATCATTGAAAAGAGGAAGTAATTACAGGTTAATCAGAACAAATATATATGATTAATAACTGCCAATTGTTATTTGTGAAGAGTTCAGAGAAAAAAATCTATAATAAAAACAATAAAAAACAAATGGGGAAACTTTATTTACCTGAGTGACTACATTATGAAAACAGTAATCCCAGCACTCGGGAGGCAGAGGCAGGTGGATCTTTGTGAGTTCAAGGCCAGCCTGGGCTACAGAGCGAGTTCCAGGACAGGCTCCAAAACTACACAGAGAAACCCTGTCTCAAAACAAAACAAAACAAAACAGAAAAAAAAAAAAAACCACTTGCCGGGCGGTGGTGGCGCACGCCTTTAATCCCAGCACTCGGGAGGCAGAGCCAGGCGGATCTCTGTGAGTTCGAGGCCAGCCTGGGCTAC